GAAGGGGACCGTGACGCCTAGGAGGGGGGTGAATTAGGCAACTTAAAAATCTACTTCTAAACTATGGCCTCTTTTTCTAACCTTAGCAAAACATATACAAAAGATAAAAACTATCTAAATATGCAACTACAGTTTTGCTAGTGTGTTGCTATCTCTACCACAAAAGGAGTAATACAATCAATGTAAATGCGGAAGCTAAAGAGCAAGGTAGAGATATGCAAACTCCCATCGACGACTCTGATATTTTTACCGAGGTATCGAGAAGCACACAAGCTTTCCCCTAGTCCTCGTTGGAGCTCCTCGCAAGAAATCCCTCGCAAGGGCCAAGCTCCCGGTCGGGTAACTCCGAGGATAGCCTCGGGCCTTCCCCACGCGCAAGTGGGTCTCCGACGTGTCTTTCGGCAAGCCTCTCCCGGTTGCTCCCCGCCGTCTTCACTATCAAGCTTCCGGCTGAAACGACGCGGGCCTTGTTCCCTCCGGTACACGGTGGCGGCCACACCACAAACGCGGTTGGTGTGATCTCGTAAGACTACAAGCCCCTCCGATGTACAACAAAGGTGCGCGCAAGCACCGAGTGATAAGAGGTATGCAAACCTCACTAAACACTAGGACTAAACCTAGAGCAAGCGCATAAGCGGTGGTCTAATCAACCTAAGCGCTTCGCAAAGGACCTACGCTAATCACCTAATGAAACACTAAGTACTATGCAAGTGGAGATCACTAAAATGGTGTATCAACACCCTTGATATGTTTCCTCAGCTCCACACCTACCAAATGGCTGGATGGGGGTTGTATTTATAAGCCTCACTGAGAAAGTAGCCGTTGAGGACGAAATCCTGCTTTTCTGCTACTGACCGGACGCTGGAGTCGTTCTGATCGGACGCGTCCGATCGTCATGACTGTTGGAGCCGCGAACAACTGATCGGACGCTGCCAGCGTCCGGTCACTTACCACCGGACGCGTCCGGTCGCAAGTTCGCCGCTCTGGAACCTCTCTGTACTCGATCGGATGTGCTGTCCTACGTCCGGTCGGTTTGCTGCCAGCGTCCGGTTGCTGCTGCTGTTGCCGAGCCTCTGATTGGAGCGTCCGGTCGCTTTTCGTCAGCGTCCGGTCGCTGCTGTGAGCTCGTTTCTTTGCGATCTTGCGTGCGGCTTGGTTCCTATCTTTATGCTTGGACTTTGCTTGATATCTTGGGTCTTCTCTTGTGCTCCTAAGGTCTTGCTTGAGGTGTTGATCATCGGATCATCACGTCGCCTTTGTCCAAGTCACGTCTTGCATCCTATTGAACTACAAAACAATCACTTGCAAATTTATTAGTCCAATTTGGTTGTGTTGGTCATCAAGCACCAAAATCCAAAGTAAATGAGCCTAGAGTCTATTTTTCTTACAATAATAACGTTTGATTAGGAAATAAAATAAGAGCACACGTGTCTCTCTTAATTTGTCCTAAAATTTCTGGAATACACTAGATCAAAGGATAAAGGGAGGAGCTGCTAAAAATTATCAATTCTAGTTAATTTGAGTCGGATATATAATAGTTAGTTGCAAAGTTAACTAGGTGGATTTAAACAAAATTATTAATGGTATATCTACAGGGCCGTCTCCAGAAATTTGGAGCCCCAGAGTGAAATACTGGCCAGAGCCAAAAAATTACCATATTCAGATATAATACAAACAAGAAATACAATTAATTATAGAGCTTCTATATGTAATTAAAGGCTTGTTTGCTAGGATTGATATTCTGACAAAATCAATGGCCTTCTCGGTTGCCCAAATCAGAGACCATCGCCCTGTTCACTTGCTTTATAAGCCATATTTTTTTTCAGTCAACAAATAATATTTTTCTCTCACAACAAATCAGCCAACAGTACTTTCAGTCATGGCTTATCAGCCAAACGAACATGGCACGAGTTGGCACGTGGCTTAGTTTGGGGAAACAAAGTGAAATATTTTTTTTAGTGTGCTAATGCTAAACTGCAAGGCTAGGCTAGTGGTCTGTATAGGGCCATAGGGGTACTACGTTCAATGTTCTACTGAAAAAGCGACGAAAATAAAAGAACCATGCATCACTGAAACACTTATTTAATGATCAATGAATCTAGTGTTACTGCAGTGCTAATAATTTCTGCGGCTGATAAGTCGATTAAAACTGATTTGTTAAAAAAAAAACCACTCTATGACTGATAAGCCATGATAAGTTCAAGCGAACATATAACTTCATTTGGATATGCACTGGACAAGCCTGCCTTACTGCCTCTGCTAGTGTGCGGAGAAGGGACCCTATAATTTTAGGGGCCCTGTGCGGGTGCTCGCCTCGCACATCCTCGTCAACAGGCCTGTATATCTATGAAACGCGGCATTTGTAATGGCATGTATTCAATTAACCCCTCAGATAATGGTAGAGATAACTTGGATACTTCATAAAGAGAACTTAAATGTGAATGCCAAATTGCACCATAGTTCAAGATCAGACAAACAAAGTTCACGCTGGTAGAGTAAGCAATAACATAGCCAAAGCTATACATTGCTATAGCAATCCCATTAATTCACAAAAAATTGTAGGCCACTACCCACCACGTCTGATATTACGCATACCACGTTACCACCTCTGAAAAAGGCAATGAGAGTTATAAATCTGACTATTCTCCATCAGTATTCCAATACAAGCACCAGACGTTTGCTTTCGACGCTGGTGCTGGTGCTGGTGCCGGTGCCCTACAGGCAGGGAATTTAGAAAGGCAAGCTAGTCCATCAGCACTGTTGATGTCATTTGGAGTATGCATGTTCTGACCGTCTTTCTAGCCAAATTGGAAAGCATCTGGTAGTCTCTCCAGTGTAGTTGGAAAGCATCACAATTGTAGCCCGCGATAGCATTTCAAGCCCTTGTAATTTATTTCTTTGAAGAACATATTGTTGCTTCAAGGATGGCAATGAAATCTGCTTTATCCACTGTCCATGATATTGCTTCATTCTCATCCATGTGGATGGATTTCTTGGGAAATGATTTGATTCTCTGGTTGTCTTCTGAGTTCTGACTTTACTCAAGAATTTGTTTAATTGATAGCAGCTCGATTTCTCCAAGTACTTTTGCAAACCAGGGAAGCATGCCGATGCAACTGAACTGTTAGTTGGAGACTGCATAGTATGATTATCTGGATAAGAGAATGATTCTGCAGCATACACAACGAGTAAAAGACCGTAGGGGCAGCAGTGTATTCTCAGGGGATGTGAATTCTCTGCAACCTGCAAAATTTTCATGGACAGAGTAGTGGGACGAGTTAAATTGAAAGTTAACACCCAAAGAGAAATGGTCCTGCATTTTCGTATATCACGTGGTCAGCTAGTGACACACTTTGCAAAATTAGATATATAGGATAGGATTTGAAGTCAAGCAATAGTTAAATGGACATAGCACCAAGGCTCCAAGCCCCTCAGAAGAAAAGGAAAGTACATCCTTCTGAACAACATTCGTGCAAGTTCACTAATTTATATGCTTCTATAGTTCAATGTTTACAGTAGAAATCTACAACATATAATAAGTAAAATGGATAGAGATGAAATAACACACAAAAACTGAATCAAACACAAATCAGCAATACAATGCAATCATCTTGTTTTAAAAATATATATGAAAACGATCATCAAGGGACATTTTTTTATAATGATCATCAAGGGACATTTAGGCATTAAACTCTGGAAAGGAAGGAACTCCAATCCCTAAGAAATAGTCTATACGATTCAACTTGACTAAACAAAAATAATCGTGTTACGCAAATGCATGTGCAGTTGACGATCCATGCTTGATTCATTACTAAGTCTAGTTCAGCGTAAAAATATGCTGGATTGAGAATCCTGATGGAAGAATTATGCACAGCACAAGGGCCCCATCTATGAGATTTTTTTCTGAGAATGATGATAGGAGATAGCAACCCACATGAAAGAAGCCTGGCCATGCCATTTATAGGCTACAGTACTAATGAAGAGCATGCAGCAGTGGTTGCACACTTGCACTGTAATGACAGCCCAAATATGAACAGCAAATAATGCCAAAGACAAGCAAATATAGGAAAGAAATATTTGACATAAAAAGGAAGAGGTTCAATGGGACACCACATGCAGACTCTTGATGTCTGGTTGTTCCTATGGCTAAATGCTAATCATACTTAACAGCAGTTGAGAATTCTTTAGCTTGCAAGTTTCCTCACCGACTGATAAACATGCATATGATTATGAAGAGTAACGATTAGAACAAAATATACTTTGAATAAGACAGAAGAATTGAGAACTCTCGGAACAAATAATACAAATATTATTATCAACAAAAGTAATTACATTGTGATACTAATCTGCACAGGTTTGTCCAGATTCCATCTATAAGAAACATTTTAAAGGAACTGAGCAGCAAATCTGCAACTAACAGTGAAGCTTCTTTGAGTCTAAGTTGGGACTAAACAGTCTCCTACAAGAAAGAATATGGCAGAAAAACTTACGATGCTGCCAATCCTTAGAAACCAAGTAGATTGCAAAGAAAAGTTGCTTCTGCTGCTGCCATCTTAAAAAAACGCATGGCATGGGCTAACGCTCTACTTCAGCCACTCATATGAAACCGAAAAGTCCTCTCGCAAACAAGCGTGAACTTCTCCTCCTCCCCCTGTTTGCAATTCTGGAGCTTCTCATTGGTGTCAGATAAAACCGAAGCATCCCATTGTCCAGGTTCCCAGGAGATGTATAATGAACACTCCTGCTTCTGCCAATCTTGCTATTCTTGAGCCAATCGGTCCGGAAATTCTGCGCATCCCCATTACTTGCAGCCTGTGAGCTTCGGATCGTGCCTTGGCTTGCTCTGCCCTGAACATGTCCGTTGCGTCCGGGTTGATGAATTTCGCCACTGATGTCTGCTGCCTCCGCATTTTTACCCTTCCGGACTTCTCTCCTGGATTCCGAGAGGGACCGCTCGAGAACATGCTCCCCTTTCCTCACAAACTCCTTGAGCGGACTCGTTATGCTCCGATCCCACACCTGCTCCACCTGTTAGACCTCCGTCTCCCAACACCAGAGACGGCCATCTCCATCCCAGTGTCACAAGAGCTCCTTCCCCTGAGACTCAGACGCCGCCCATCGCCCCCTGCATCAGCCGAGTCCGAGTGCCCGCCATTCCTGCTCTCAGCAGCCACGGCGCGGGCCTCCCCGACCGCTTCCTCCGCATTGCTCCTCACCCTCCTCGCTCCATCCTCCGGCGGCTCCGGCTCCTCTAAGCAGGCGAAGGAGCACGCGAACGCCCTGCCCACCATCGACCCGTCCCACGAGTGGCGGGGCGGCTCCAGGGAGCCTCTGCTCGGGTCCCGGTCCCGGGACGCCATCCACTCGCACGAGCGACGGAAGCTCGGCTTCCGCTCCACCTGCGCTCCGCCGTCGTCGCTGGCGCTCGGATCCGCCACCGCCACCCCGCGCGGCGGCATCGAGGGCGGCTCCTTGGCAGAGGCCGCCGGCCCATTCCTCCTCCACCGCAACGCTCCCCTCGGCAGACGAATCGACCGGAGCCACGACCCGGGGCCCTTCCGCTTGCCCCCTCGACCTCCTTCTCCGGAACCCGACTGGAACTCCGCCAACGACTGCGGCCCTTCCGACGGACGCGCGCCGCCACCGCCGGTGGAGTCGTCGAGCTGGAAGAGCAGCATGAGTGTCTTGCGCAGCCTGCCCCGGTCCGCGGCGCCGGAGCCCTCGGCGGGCTCCGCGGCGGCGACCTCGACGATCTCGGACTCGGGCTGGTCCCACACCGAGGAGAGGCGCTCCATGAGGCAGGAGGAGCAGATGCCCGTGAGGAGCTGGGACGGGTGCCTGCCGCACCGAGGCGGCTCCGGCTCCGGCTCGGGCACCGGCACCTTCTCCTTGTTGTTCCTCTCGGGCCGCGCCTGCTCGTCTTCCTCCATCGGGTCGGGTCGGATGGAACTCTCGCGGAAACTGGCTATCGCAGGCCGCCGCAGCGCAGCAGCCACCCAGACAGCAGGGGAGTGAATGGAGTCAGGCGGGGACAAGCTGGTACGACATGGCCAGAAAATCGCGAGGGAAAAAAAGAACCCTAGCGAGACACCCGAAAAGCGACTTTTGGGTTTGGGGGGCAGCGCGCGTGGGGAAACGTTAGGAAAGGTTCGTGGCCTTTTGCAAGGGGCCGCCGCCCCGGCGCGGGGGAGGGCGGGGCGGGCGGCGGATGGGAACTTTGGCTTTGTCCCGGGCAGGGGGCGCAAGGCGACCCAGGAGGTATCGCCGAGCCGGGACGCGGCCAGGCCTCGGCCTCGGCCGCGAACGATTCGCCCCGCCCGCGGAGGAGGGAAGGGACTCGTTGCGGTGGGCGCGGCGCACGTTATAATACCTGTGCTGCTGCTGCCACTGGATGGGTGAAGGCCTTGAAGGGTGATGATGGCCCTGGGCTGTGGCCTGTGGCCTGTGGGGCTCGCCCGCACGGCTCCGGCGGCCAGTGGCTCACAGGACTCACGGCGCGGGATTAATTTCGGTGGGCGGTTGGCCGCGCTGGCTTGGCTGGGAGTCGCGGCTCCGGCACCGGCACCGGCTGCGTAGGTACCGTGCGGTTGGCCGTGCCGTGCCGTCCCGTCCTACTCCTGCCTGCGGCGAGATAAAAAGATAAGGCGGTGAGTGGCCGTGCCGTGCGTGGTGCGTGCCGAGCCCAGCCAGTTGCCGATGCGCAAGAAAGCAAGATGCGAGGCTGTAGCAACCAAAGCAGCTGTCGTTGCTGCCTGCTGCTCATGATTTCAGCAGACTATCTGACGAAGTCCCTAACAAACTGAACGGTATTTGAACTGTGCTCTTGAAGTTACTTCTACCACGAGGTATAACGTTCAAAGTTTCTTTTGTTTCTGGTGCCACTTTGGCTGGCAGATAGCCGCCACTTTTACCTGGGAATTAGGTCGAGCTGAGGCCTAGCTGAACCATGTCTCTCTTTTTTCTCGAATACGTAAAAGATTTACGTATCATTGTTTTAAGGAGAATAGTTTAAACAAATAAACAACACGTTTCTAACGAGCGTCGAAGGAAATCGACTTAACACAGTCGAAGCTAGACCATCCTAACAAAAGACTTCAAGTTTCGATATTACATAAAAAGAAACAACCAATATTAACGTAGCTTTATAACCTAGGAGGTGGCCTTGCGTCTTCGCGGCTGTCTGGAAGATGCCTTTCCAACGGCTGAACCAGCTCTCTCGCTCAGTCGCTCTCTGAGACGGTGGTTTATTAGTATCTGAACTAGAGCAAACCTAACAACTAGGGTGGTGGTGCCCGCAAACGGGCAAAACAGTGGAAGTGGACAGACGCCGAACCCATGGATCTATGAGAAAACAGCTCATCGGGGCCTTGTTTAGATGGTAAATTTTTACAATCTGGACACTGTAGTACATTTCGTTTGTATTTGATAAATTTTGTTCAATCATGGACTAACTAGGCTCAAAAGATTCGTCTCGTGATTTACAACCAAACTATGTAATTAGTTATTTTTTTTAACTACATTTAATACTCCATGCATGTATCCAAAAATTAATGTGATAAAGAGAGTGAAAAAACTTAGAATTTTGATGCAATCTAAACCAGGCCCGGGACGAAAAAGTCACAGCCTACGTTCCTGCACGCTGCACATTGTTCATGTACCGCTCGATGCCGCCAGTCTGTTTGATTTGATCCCGGTTGGCCTACTGGGTACTGGCCCGTAGCCCTGTACGCTTCCTTACAAGTGGGCCTGCTTGTCGCCGGACAAACAGTTCGGCAGGATCCTGTACCAAAATACGACTATACGAGTAGCTAGCAGGGGGAGAAAGGACGTCACTCTCACTCCCTACTGAGCAGTTGTCCATGTGCATTCGTGAAGTAGAAGATTGCGGTTCTAGCGTGCCCAAATGTCAATATGTTTGGTCCTATCCAGTGGCATTGTCCTATCGTGGAAAATTTTGATTCTCATAGTAGCAATGTACGTGGTGATGACAAAGTACACGAGGAAGAGAAACACGCACATGCCCAAGTGCCGAAATTCTTGAAGTCTGTTGAGCTCTGCTCTACAAGTGAGTTTGAGATGGAGTTACTGGAAGGAAATGAGGGATGAACAGGCTTAACGAAACTGCTTTGCTTTGATTAATCATCTACAGAGTATTTGCGTTGTGTGACAATTTACTTGACACCATGCAGATGCAGTACAGTTTTTTTTTTTTTGCATTTTTTTACCAGTGCACCGGTGGCACATGGGGGGCTATTAATCTGCTCATTTGCCATCACTGATACGCTCGTACTCTCAATAAAGTATCAAGTCAACAATCGACAGCTTTAGGGCCTAATCAGACATTCAGGCCTAGTTACGCTACGAAACGCACTATCCTCGCACCTTCTTTGCATCAAGTTCGGTCGGCCAGCACCAGCACGACTGCACGAGCTTACGTGACACTTTCCGTTCCGGTCTCTTAATTTATTTCCTACGACTACGATCATTGGACGATGTCGCTGGTTGAGTTATGTACTCATAAGTCCGGCCGGTACTAGTTTATCGTGAGAGAAAAATATTGTTAACTAGTTAATAAATTTTGGCTAAAATCAACGAGCGAACAGGTTGAATGATGATGGTTGACCTCACATCGTCCATCCGACATGAGACGAATTGTGACTAGAACAATTTAGGCCTGTTTAGATTAAACGTGTAAAGTTTTAGGATGTCATATCGGATGTTATATGATGGTGTCGCATGGGGTGTTTGGATACTAATAAAAAAACAAATTACAGAATCCGTCAGTAAACCACGAGACGAATTTATTAAGCCCAATTAATTCTTCATTAGCGCATGTGTTACTGTAGTAATTTACTGTCAAATTATGAACTAATTAGGCTTAAAAGATTCGTCTCGTAAATTAGTCGTGTAAGGAAAATGGACCATAGGCACATTTACTTTGAATTTTGGTGTTTGATGACCAACACAACCAAATTGGACTAATGAATTTACAAGTAATTATTTTATAGTTCAATAGTGCGTTCGGCTGGTTGGTTTTTCAGCCGGATTTCACTGTTCCCGGCTGAAAAATACTGTTCACACTCTCACAAATTCATCCAAATTCCTCCAAATTCCTTCCAGCGAATAGGGCCAGGGTGCAAGACGTGACTTGGACGAAGACGACATGATAATCCCACAATCAACACCATAAGCAAGACCCTAGAAGCCCAAGAGAAGACCCAAGATATCAAGTAAACTTTAAGTACGAAGATGTGAACCAAGTCGGACGCAAGATCGCAAAGAAACGAGCTCAGCAGAGGTGACCGGACGCGGCCCTATGAGGACCGGACGCGTCTAATCAGTTGCTCAGCAACAGCAGGCGTCAGCAGCAGCGACCGGACTCTGAGCGAGGCAGTGACCGGATGCATGGACTTTACTGTTTATCGTCGCGGTAGCAACTCAGTGAGGACCAGATGCAGCAGCTGTGTTCGACTGGACGCGTCAGACAGTGGCGTCCGATCGAGTCCAGAGAGGTTCCAGAATGGCGAAACGTCGACCGGACGCGTCAAATGGTAAGCGACCGGACTCGCCAGAGAGTCCGGTCAACAGTGAGCGCCAACGGTCGGCTTCAACGGTCGAGACAACCGAACGCGTCCGATCAAGACGACCTGTGCGTCCGGTCAATGGCAGAAAGCTAGGTTTCGTCCCTAACGGCTACTTTCTCCATGGGACTTATAAATAGACCCCACAACTGGCCATTTAAGGAAGGAAGAGCTGAGGAAACATATCAAGTGTGTTGATACACCATTTTAGTGATCTCCACTTGCATAGTTGTTGGGTTCATAAACCCAAGGTCCCTCATGGACCAGCTTTCCAGCAGAAGCTTGGCCCAGCAGACGGCGTTGCGAATGACGCGCAACTCCTGGGCCGGCCCAAAAATCTAACGACATGCCAGAAGGACGATCCGGTCTCCAATCGGAAGGCCCACCCAAGGAGGAACGACGTTCGCTTCCGACTTCAGCCCGCCTCTCTGACCGAAAGGCCTAGCCGAAGAGGAACAACGCTCGCTTCCGACTCCGGCCCGCCTCTCCGACCAGAAGGCCTCGCTTCCGACTCTAGCCCGCCTCTCCGACCGGAAGGCCTAGCCGAGGAGGAACGATGCACGTTTCCGATTCTGACCCATGTCTCCGACCAGGGATGCACCGGGCCTCTGCTTACAGCTATTCTCCGACTGGCACAGTCGGAGCCAACTGGGACTAACCGACTGGGGACGCTCGCTCAGTGAGGACCCAGGAAACGGACAGAGTAAGAAAGGTATGGCGCTCAAGTCAATCGCAGTACTAAGGACAGTACTCTGTACACCTGCAGGACAGTACCGACATAGCATGTCAGAAGGGTGCTCTACAACCTTAAGGCATGTCAGGACCCAAGCAGTGTTGTGGGCACCGACATTTGCCCTACAGTGTTGTTGGCACCATCAATTCCCATACCAGGCGAACACGGTAAAACCCCCCATATGCCTCTAGGCATCAACAATGTTGTGGGCGTCGTCATTTGCCATACATGGTGAACACGATAAAAACCTCCCACATGCGTCAGACATAAATAGTGTTATGGACGTCTACAATCATCTTGTACCCGACGGCGTGGGCAACAATACTTAGTAGCATATGTACTCTCTCTCTCTCACTTGTATGGCCGTCCCCTTCATCTATAAAAGAGGATGCGCTCTCACCCAATATGGGGACTCGAACACAGAGAGACGATTCGAACAACCAACGATCGATTCACCCTCTACTAGTTTTAGACACTCTAAAGCTACACAGAACACACACTTGAATACTTAGCGCACATTGGAGCTCCCGTCATTCTCGGCCCTTCAGCCCAGAGTCCGACCGGACCTCTTGCACCCCCATCTTTCTCCCTCTCGTTTGTAACCTCACAGCAAACT